GGCTGAGGCAGGAGAATGGTATAAACCTGGGGGGTGGACCTTGCAGTGAGCCAAGATTGTGCCACTGCACTCCAACCTGGGCGACAGAGCGAGACTCCATCTCGAAATAAATAAAAAAAATAATAAATAAATAAATAAATAAATAAATAAGACGACCTAACTGGTTATAATCCCCAGTGCACATGGAACAATCTTTATTCTCTTTATTCAAGTTCTAAAAGCATATGAGGCCAGTGGCTCACGCCTGTAATCCTAGCACTTTGGGAGGCCAAGGCAGGTGGATCACCTAAGGTCAGGAGTTCGAGACCAGCCTGGCCAACATGGTGAAACCCTGTGTCTACTAAAAATACAAAAATTAGCCAGTGAGGTGGTGGGCGCCTGTACGCCCAGCTACTAGAGAGGTTGAGGCAGGAGAATCACTTGAACCCAGGAGGCAGAGATTGCAGTGAGCCAAGATCACATCACTGCACTCCAGCTTGGGCAATAAGAGTGAAACTCCATCTCAAAAAAGTAAATAAATAAAATAAAATCATATGAAACATCTTCTGTAGCATTTATTAAGGAAAAGAAAATTCATAAGGAATTTTAATTTTGAACCAAAATACAGGCAAGAGCCTAGCAGAATTAATGGTATTTTATGTGAAACAAGGTAACTGGGAAAATAGAATATATTTCCTGAGATATCTAAAATATTGTAATAAAACTGAATTAAAATAAATATTCTCCAGAATGTCCAGTTCTAGAGAGGAAATGAGACACAGTGAGCTGTGTTAGACACAATTAACTATGTTGCAGTGTATTAGAAAGAAGGCTCCTTTGAACTCTTAAAGGCCAGAGAACTGAGCTAAAGGGGACTGGTGGGGGGCAGAGCTTCTGCCAAGGACTAGTTGTCCCAACCTAGGAAAAGCCAGCAGGCACCTGATATGCAACTTAGAGGATGGTTAGGCCAATGTTTGTGGAGACAACCAGCAAAACTAAATAAGAGCAGAAGGCTAGGTCGAGGTTTGGGCATGAATGAAACAAAGGCTATCCTATTGGAATGGAAAAGACAGGAAAAAGGATTCAGAATGCTGAGTTAGGCAGAGGCATAGTTGTCAAATCATGGTCAGTCCATCAACAAGTGATTTTTAGCATAACCCTTAGAAGAGTACTGATCTTTCAGACACAGCTTAAAATAGCCTTTTTGTTTTGGTTTTGTTTTGTTTGAAAGAGGGTACTATAGTTCTACAACCTGTTACCTGCACTTGTAAAGGTCCTCCAATTCTGAAAACCAAGCTTTACCCCAAATTTGGTGCAAACTTGTTTAGCAGCAAAGCATGGTCAGGACCCAGGTTAAGCAACTTATTATTTTTCTTTATATTTCCACCTAGTGTTAATACTTATATGTCCACTATGGAAAGATCAAAATGTTTGCTCGTGGGAGGCAGCTCCAGGCCCCATCAGAAGTGCTGTATAATAGACAGCATGCACATTGTGTGATCTTTCTAACATTCAAAAGCTATTGAATTCTGAAACATGGCTGGATGAAGGGTTGTGAATAACAGATGATCAATCTGTATCTACACTATATTTTCTTTCTTGATGACCAAGTCACAGTACTAAACATAGCTTAGTACAAATTAGCAAAGCTTGAAAAATCATGCAACACATCTCTCCTGAGAAAGTGCCTGCAGAAATATCTGTGGACTGAAGGTGGGATCCAGTGATCCATCTGGTGCTCTAGGCATAACACCAAAGGCCAAGGGCAATGTTTTAAACTTTAAAAAAGAAAAAAATATACATATAATTGACAAAATTAACAAAGAAGCTTAAAAGCCAAAACTAATAACAGTCAACCATGGCTTAATTCAACTATGATGAGTGATCAGCAAATGTAATAGTTTAAGCCACAAAGACATATAAAATAATGTATTCCAGACTATGAAATCCACCCCTACCGCCCCACTGAAACAACAACAACAACAACAAACAAACAAACAAAAACTTTCCAAAAGGTTTTACAGCACAAAGAATGATATTTAATGAGGCATGTGGTGTTAAATGCAGCTTCCAAAAAAAAAAAAAAAAAAAAGAGTGCTTTGGACCTGTGAAAGTCTAACCTGTGTCCTGGCTAGGTTTTTCCTGCCCTTCCTTACTTTTGACATTGCTGACAATAGTTTACAGGAATAGCATATGCTAGCAGAATCAAGAAACTTAACCTTGGGCTGGGACTTTTGTAAGTCAATTAGCTAATTTACAGATTAAATGTCATACATTTTCCCAACAAACATTCGTCTGACCAATGCAAAAGTGACCAAAAGCAAAGGTGATTTCTGGTTTAACACTTTCACAAAATTTTGTTCTTGGTTTTTAATGCGCCTAACTTTAAATATATTGTTGTGGGATAATTTAGGAATTAGAGAGACTGAGGGGTTAAGGAGGATTTATTATTTAGGTGTATTGGCCTACTTGCCTTAATATTTAAAGGACTGGGTTTGGAATACAGAGTTGTTATTTTTTAAATATTTTGTGAGGCAGGGGGAGATTTGTAATAATACAGTATCTGACTGTTAACAGTGGTATCTAAAGAAAAAACACAGAACCATGTGAAAAATACTGGTCCTGGCATATTACTGCCTACATTCTTATAGAAAGACTTACTTAAGGGCCAGGCACAGGGGCTCACACCTATAATCCCAGCACTTTGGGAGGGCAAGGCGGGCAGATCACTTGAGGTCAGGAGTTCGAGAACAGCCTGGCCAACATAACGAAACCCCATCGCTACTAAAAATACAAAAATTAGCTGGGCGTGCGCCTATAATCCCAGCTACTCAGGAGGCTGAGGCATGAGAACTACTTGAACCCCAGAGGAGAAGGTTGCACTGAGCCAAGATCTGCACTCCAGCCTGGGTTACAGAGCAAGAATCCATCTCAAAACAAACAAACAAACAAAAAACAGAAAGTCTTTTTTACCAAATCTTGGTAAATTTGTGGAGGGGGGGATTCATGTATATGTATACACACACACACACACACACACACACACACACACACACGCAAAAGAAATAAAACTGGGAAATTAACATGCACCATTCCCTGCCTCTTTACCAATAATTGAAAAATGCTTTTGACCTTAGAATACCATGCTACTTGCAAATTAAACTATTTTAAGAGATTGAACAAGTAAAGATATTTGCACTACAAAATGAATGAACTATATTTAAGAGATTTGTATTCCAGCTCCAGATTAAATTCAAACCATGCTTACATGGGTTTTGACTGTAAGAAGGTTTTATACCTTTTTTAAGAGTGCACTTAAGGCTGGGGCGTGGTGGCTCATGCCTGTAATCCCAGCACTTTGGGAGGCCGAGGTGGGCAGATCACGAGGTCAGGAGTTCAAGACCAGCCTGGCCAAAATGGTGAAACCCTGTCTCTACTAAAAATACAAAAAAATTAGCTGGGCATGGTGGCGCATGCCTGTAATCCCAGCTACTCAGGAGGCTAAGGCAGGAGAATTGCTTGAACCGGGACCTGGGAGGCGGAGGTTGCAGTGAGCCGAGATTGCACCACTGCACTCCAGCCTGGGCTACAGAGCGAGACTCCATCTCAAAAAAAAAAAAAAAAGAGTGCACTTAATTAAAGACCACAAAGACAGAAATAATGTACAGGAGCAACAGGAGAAAACATTTTTAACATGTTCTTGCCAATAGTGACTTTGTTGGACTTCATCTAATTTAAACCAGAAGAATGATGTATCTATGAGAACACCAAAATTATTACTGAGAATTTTAGAAAGCCCTTGCCCAAACTGACAAATTAAATTAGAAGATAACTTTTCAGATCATGCTTAACTTGAAACTTAACAGAAGCATTCCTTTTTTTTTTTTTTTTTTTTGTAACTAGTCAAAGTAACATACCTCCCTGAAATGTGTGACAAATATAATCCCCAAAGGAGATCTCTTTCCATGGTCCGGACCTTCTGATACTTTCTGAAACTTCACAGTTCTTCTCATTTTCCCCAGTTAATTGAAGCATTCTGATGCTTCGTCCTTGGAGGTCTTATTTCTTTAGATAAGACTGCTGTTGTCTAGTGTCTTCCGAGTTGTCTAGTGTATTGGAATCACATAAGACTATTTTGAAAGAGAATCCTGGATGCAAATTGAAATGGATACTAGATAAAGAATGATGTAATCCTGGAACCCCTGCGAACACTAAAAATACATGGGGAAATTCTGAACTCTGTTTATGAATAAATACTCCTCTATTAAGTGACAATCCCAGCAGTGACAGGGATATGTGACTCATTTACTTTTGTAGCATCTCACTACAATTAAAGGAAATCATTTCTTTCAAGAAATGGACACTATTCTCTACAAAGCGTGAGAATTTAAAATTTGCCCAAATTTTGGCATTTCATATTAGAATAAACTTTGTTTGGAGTGCTTTGCATGCTACCATATAAAATGGGTTTAGTGAAGAGCTTTTCCTGACAGCGACAAGTGGTTAATCAATTCCAATTGCTAATGACAGCAAAAAAATACACATAGCTTGCCACTTCCAATTGCTAATGACAGCAAAAAAAAAAAAAATACATATAGCTTGCCACGTTTGCTGCTTTAATCACAATTTATTAGTCTTTCTATTTCCTGAGAAATTTTAGTCTGGTTAGAATGCCCTTCATTTTTAAAGTTTGCTTTAAAATATTAAAGAAAATAATTATATACAAGTAATTATTTTGGCCAGTAGAAATGAAGTTTCTCAAAATACTCTTAGTAAGCCACTACCTATTTACTTCTTAAATAACAACTGCTACAAGATCTACTAACTTGCAAAAAAATAAAGCTGAAAATCCTCCACAAACTGATGCAGTCAACAGCATTTGCTACTTTAAGTGACAATTTTTCAAACTACCCACTTAAAATCAAAGTATAAATATAATCTGCCTTCTAGAAATACTATTCATGTGAATTACCCAGGAGGGATTTTTATTAAAAAATAGGAACAAATTCATGTACTTTTACCTGAAATTCCACCATAGATCTCTTCTGCTATCCTAGCTGCTTCTTTCCTATTTCCTTTGACGATATAGAAATGGGTTAGGAGAGCCAAAAAAACTTTAATTAAAAGCTTAAAGAAAAAAAAGGTAGCAAACATTGTAATAAAAATGTTTTTAAAGCCACAGAAAGCAGGAGCATCCTCCATTTTGGCTTATGCTCTGTACAGGGTCCTAGGACTGTAAAATTTCACTGAGTTATAATTGGTATCATATGACATCTATTTTAAACCTTCTAGCACTCAGTGCTCCTGTTACCGAGAATTCGGTTTGTAGGTTCTAATCTAACTGATTTGGCGACTGCATGTGCTGACTCCACAGCAGTGTTAAATAAATTGAAGAAACTTCCTTCTAACCAGAAACATCCAATAGTTCTAGAACTACACAACTCAGTACTATCTAACCAATAAGATTCATATCCAAACATTTTATAGTCCTAAACCCCTATTTTTCCTATTTTATGTCAGAAAGCAGGGTTAGAAAGATAGAAACTTCTCAGCTTCCATAGAAACAAAGCAAGTTATTTGACATACAAAAAAAGTGCAAATATGCTTTATGTTCTAAGTGGGAAGTACTACTCCCTGGGGCATTTCATTTTCTCTTAATTCTGAAGTTTATAGAGGATTAAGTCCAAATCTAAAATATGACCAGTTAAAAAAGACCATTTACCTGGTCGGGCGCAGTGGTTCACTCCTGTAATCCCAGCACTTTGGGAGGCTGAAGCAGGCGGATCACCTGAGGTCAGGAGTTTGAGACCAGCCTGGCCAACATGACGAAACCCCCCTCTCTACTGAAAGTACAAAAATTAGCCGGGCATGGTGGCAGGTGCCTGTAATCCCAGCTACTCAGGAGGCTGAGGCAGGAGAATTGCTTGAACCTGGGAGGCAGAGGTTGCAGTGAGCCAAGATCGCACCACTGCACTCCAGACTGGGTGACAAGAGCAAGATTCCATCTCAAAAAAAAAGAAAAGGAAAAAAAAAAAAAAAAAGACAATTTACTCTAAAGCTGTATGTATTTATTTATTTAGTTTTAAGATGGAGTCTTATTCTGTTGCCCAGGCTGGAGTGCAGTGGTGCAATCTCGGCTCACTGCAACCTCTACCTCCTGGGTTCAAGCAATTCTCCTGCCTCAGCCTCCCGAGAAGCTGGGATTACAGGCTTGCGTCACCATGCCTAGATAATTTTTGTATTTTTAGTAGAGACGAGGTTTCGCCATGTTGGCCAGGCTGGTCTCAAACCCCTGACCTCAGGTGATCCGCCCACCTTGGCCTCCCAAAGTGCTAGAATTACAGGCGTGAGCCACTGCACCTGGTCAAGCCTTTATTTAATAAAAGGCCTACCTTGGATGCCTCTCCAAGTAAAAGTGTCACACTAGAAGCATCAGACTACTTGCCATGGTAGTTCCATCTGGGACAAGGTCCCACGGCAAGGTTCCCTCCTGATCATTCACTTGCATTTCAAGCATTGGTAAAGGTGGTGCCCATTTCTGAAAAATGTGGGCTATCCTTGATCATGGAAAAGTCATAGTGAAATGGACAAGAGAGATGCCCTAGGTTCTGGATGAAGTACCCAAATATTTCATGAATCAACCTTCTCCAGCTGGGCAATTTTCTCTTATCAGCGGCAAACAGAAGTGAAATGGGTTTATTTTTAGTTTTCCTCATCACTCTAGGCCTCTGCCTTCATTCTTGGCTATGTTAGATTTTGTAAATTTCTAAAATCAATTGAAAAGACAAGCCAAAATATAGTTATACCAGCAGCCTAATAAATCTTAACGAATGCTTTATGCAAAAATATAGGAATTTCTCCTAGCATGCACGCAAATTAGAATGACTGCCTGGTTAAGAACTGTTTCACTACATTAAAAAGCTGACATGTAAGAATACAACTTTGAACCACAACATACAGCTCATCGATTTCAGTGTATCAGAGCACTATAAAGACCTTGAGTTGTCTTAACTCTCAAGGAACGGATACTAACATAAGATTTACTTTACTGAGCTTATATTACCTGGTAGAATACCAGTGTATGAAAATACATGAATATAACTCTTTTAGTCCTTTTCATGTATCTCTTTCTTCAATTATACTCTAAGTACGCAATCATTTAGTCATGTCAGACCAGTAATGTATATTGTTCTATAACATTATTCAATCTTGTTTTGGTTTTTTCATTTAAAACATGGCTGTCCAATGTTTTACACGCCAAAAAAGTTGGCCATGAGAAGCTCAACTTTTTTAAGGTTCAAATGGATGTCTATACTATTTCCGAGAGACCATCTTTTTTTTTTTTTTTTTTTTAATTGAGACAGAGTCTCGCTCTGTTGCCCAGGCTGGAGTGCAGTGGATCTTAGCTCACTGCAAGCTCCGCCTCCCGGGTTCACACCATTCTCCTGCCTCAGCCTCCCAAGTAGCTGGGACTACAGGCGCCCGCCACCATGCCCGGCTAATTTTTTGTATTTTTAGTAGAGACAGGGTTTCACTGTGTTAGCCAGGATGGTCTCGATCTCCTGACCTTGTGATCCACCCGCCTCGGCCTACCAAAGTGCTGGGATTACAGGCATGAGCTACCACTCCCGGAAAGGCCATCTTTACTATATTTGAACATTACATTTGAGATGGGCATAACAGGCTACTGATACACAAGGACATTTGATTCATGCTGTCTATCACGGATGAAATAATCAACAGCACCAAGGTTTCTCAGCCTCAGCACTATTGACATTTTGGGACAGCTACATCTGTTGTGGGGGATGGCCCAGAGCATTGTGGAATGCTTAGCAGCAACCCCGACCTCTACTCACTTGATGCCAATGCCCCACCCCCATCTAGTAGTAACAACCAGACATTGCCGGATGTCCCCTGGGAAACAAAATTGTCCCCCCAAACCCCAGTTGAGAACCACTGAGCCATACCCAAATAGAAATGATAAAGTAAAATCAATTCCCCCAAGTACTATAGACTACAAATCAAATTCTACATAGAACTTTTTCATAATTTTATATTAAAAAATCCAGCCACAGGATACAATTTAACATCTAGCCACATTCATTTGGGAATGCAGAGATGGATAAAGAGGCTTTAAAAATACTTCACAAAAGTAAACACAGACCTATACTACCCTGACTTTGCCAAAAATAAGTTTTGGCGTAAGATAAATCAAAACATAAACATAGGTGACTGCTTTCCACTGCTTTCCACAAAAGGGGTGGGAGAAACTAAATCAGGGATATCCAATCTTTTGGCTTCCCTGGGCCACATTGGAAGAATTGTCTTGGGCCACACATAAAATACACTAACAGCAGATCACGAGGTCAGGAGTTCAAGATCAACCTGGCCAAAATGGTGAAACCCCGTCTCTACTAAAAATACTAAAGTTAGCCTGTGTGGTGGTGGGCGCCTGTAATCCCAGCTACTCAGGAGGTTGAGGCGGGAGAACCATTTGAACCCGGGGCAGCCTGGGCAACAAGAGTGAAACTCTGTCTCAAAAATAAATAAATAAATAAATAAATAAATAAATGAAAATACACTAACAATAGCTGATGAGCTGAAAAAAAAAAGAAAAAAGAAAATCACAAGTCTCATAATGTTTTAAGAAAGTTTACAAATTTGTGTTGGGCAAAGTAGAAAGCATAATTATGTAGCTCACATACGCAATACAGTTTGTAGATCTTTTCCTTTGTCTCACATGATAACGCTAGGGCAGTGAAAAACAAGGGCTTATTTGGGTAAGGAAACAAAGGCACAATTGAACTTGCTATTCCATGAGTAAGAGAGAGAAGATATTCTAGAAACAAAAAATGACAGAGTAATTCATCGCCCAAAGGGTATTTCTTGTTTTACTAATAGACCAAGCAACACATCCAAATTGCATTGGAAAAGAATGTGTCGGGGGCAGGGATAGCCTGTTCCACTAGTAAATAACAGTCTGGTCATAAAATAAGACAAACAGAAAATTAGCAAAATGTCATTCTGGTCTTTATTTTTGGACATGTAGCATGTTTTAACAAATCAGTTTTTCATAGGCAACCTTTTGAAACATCAAAAGAAATACAATATAGTTTTCACAAATTCCTCATCCTGTAAATTCACTTTAAAATCAACGTAAGTAGCAGGGTAGAGCAATGTGTTTCCACATACCGACCAGTGCAACACTGACAGTTACAATTAAGGTATCCAGGAAGGCTGAAAATCAAGATTTACGTAAAACAAATTTACTTCCATTTGTTAAAAGTAGTAATTTGCAAATTACATGTCTTACAAGCAAAGGCAACTAACTTTAGATCTTATTTCCATCTCAAATAAATGACAATTTAAGAATTAAATGACAATTTTAAAAAATCAAGCAAAAATATAAGGAAAAAATGGTGGCGTGCGTCTAAAACCTGTTGAATAGAATAATAGCCAAATATTATAGTTTCTCACTTTACAATGAATATTGGCACTGTTTATTTCATGTTTATATGTGAGTTTTTATGCATAAAAATCCCAGTAAGACTGAATGCTTTAGATCAGTCCATTTTTCTCCAACAAAAGTGCCCCTAACTTCTAGATTTCAAAAACTGCACTCTTGCTTTTGCATTTTAGTACAAACAAAACACAAATATATTTCTTTTATATCAGTGCAACCAGGTAATAGGCATGTTATTTTTTAAAAAGTAACAAATTTTGTGAATGTTGTCGTTTTTAAAAATCCTATACAGTATCACAACACTGTCAGAATCTATGTAGTGCACCCACAAGTGCCTCACTGTTTTGAATTCACAGTCCTTTTCTCACAAAAACCTCAAGAGTTCAAAGAATTGATAATACACACCATGTGAATAATTTGGGGTTAAAAAACCCATGGCTCTGGGCAACAACAATTACAGTTAATACGATCCAACAACAAAGACTGTTGCTAAAATTTTCAACTCGGTTTGCTATAAATAAAACATTCTGAAGTAAAGCTTTTTGCATACTGACAATACTTATCAGACATCAGCGAGGCCACAGTGAAGGGGAGTGACTTACATTAAAAGGACAGGGTAGCAGCTGGTTTTGGGATGGCACACCTCATACATTCCGCTCAGAAAACACGAAGGCATTTATAGAAAACTCAAATATGCACTGAAAAATATGGAGGGTTTCTCTGCACTATCAACAGTGATATCGGTCCCCAGTATTGAAAAAGCAAAAAAT